GTGTGCAGTGGAGAGCATCCTGTGCTCCAGCATCAATGTGTGGCATGGAGGCTGCACAGCTGCAGAAAGAAAAGCTTTGCAGAGAGTGGTGAAGGCTGCACAGAAATCTGTTGGAATCAGTCTCCCCACCATCACAGACATCTACACCTCCAGATGCAGGAAGAGGGCCACCTGCATCATGAAGGACCCCACCCACCCAGCACACACACTTTTTGCCCCACTCCCCTCAGGAAGGAGGTTAAGGAGCATTAAGTGTAGAACCACTAGACTGAGGAACAGCTTCTACCCTGAGGCTGTTAGACTCATGAATCTCTAACTAGAATAATCACTGTGAAAAACCATATCATGTTGCTGCTGATCTGTTTCATGTTGCTGCTGATCTGTTTCAATGTTGATGTGTTCATGCGTGCACATCTGCTCACAGACTCATGTTCATGTTTGTGCTGATGTTCAATGTTTTATGTTATGAGTGCTTAGTGTATATTTAGTTGATGTTTTTCTTAGTTCATATCTTAGATGTTATTACTGTTTTTCTTAGACATTTTATTGTTGGATGTAACTGGGACCCCGTGTACATAATTTCGCTCCACCACATGTACCACATGAGGTGCGAATGACAATAAAGAAACTCTGACTCTGATAATAACCATATTCTGAAATGTAGATGTGGATTTTTTTAATAAAAAGCACTAACATTCACATTTAACTGATTTTGTTAATCACATCGAAGGGCAAGGGGGTCTTGAACATATATAGTTTCATATATAGTTACACATAGTTTTGTTCCACCTAATGTACCACATGTGATGAGAATAACAATAAAAATCCTCGTATATTTGTATACATATATATATACATATGTATACAAGGGATGCACAATATTATCGGCATGGTATCGGCCGATATTAGTGTTAAATTTAATATCAGACATCGGCCATTCCATTAAAATAACTAGCCGATACAAAAGGCGCTGTTTTCGACTGCAGCAGAAGCACAACGTGATGACCTTGTAGCGGCAGCGCAAGGCAATGACGTCACGTGCACCTACTCGATCTCACAGCAGAGAGGAAAATTCAAAATGACGGTGTGGAAGTTTTATTTTTCGTTGGTGAGGCTGTTGGATACCGAAAATCTATGGACTATGTTGAGCCTCGCTACATCGTCCGCAGTCGGAGATAATTTTCCAACATAACGTTACCAGAGTTACAAGCCGTCATTTCCGACATCATTGAGAAGCTAATCGATAGCATGTCTTGTTGGGTGACTTTTACCACAGACATTTGGACATCGTGTTAGCCCCGTTAGCATGATTAAGTCTTATGGCACAATGGACAGACAAAAACTGTGATCTTAAAAAGGCTGTCCTTCATGCACAGGAGTGCAGAGGATCCCACACTGCAGCTAGGAACATGGAACAAGCCTCCACAAGTGAGACAACATTGCAGGTGACTAATGCTAATAAATAACATTTAACACTTTTCATTTAATATAAGTTAAAGTGCTATGCATATGGCTGTTACTGAATATATGTCACCAGCTCTTAGTTGCAACCATGATTCGATTATATCCTGATGCATGCTCAATAATCCAGGTAGAAAAATCCAAAAATGTTAAATCTGGTCCTCTGGACATTCAAAAAAACAAAAAACAAAACAAAGCAAAAAAAAATGTAGAAACGTTTCGTCTCTCATCCGAAAGACTTCCTCAGTCTGAGGTGCTGTATTCAGCTCAGTCTCTTAAATAGCACCTTCTCAGAGTGGATCAACCAGTTTGCTGCTGACAACCAAAACCAGCTGATCACATGATCAAGAAGGACCATCAGCCTAACAATGGATCATTAGCACCCTGATGGCTGTTTACTATTCACAGGGGGTTGAACTGGGTTCAACTCTGGGTTCAACTGTCCCCCTCTTAAAATGTTGTTATTGCTAGTATCACTCAACCCCGGCTCAAATCTCCCTCAGACATGGTAACTCTCATTAGCAATAAATCAAAGAAACGTCAATTAAGTTTTACCAACTGTATTAAAATCAAGGCAGGAAAAGGTTACAGTTTACAGCGCTGGTCTCTTCGGTTTGTGACGTGTTCACAGACCCGGAAAAAGCCCCCATGTCCCCTGTCATTACTCGTTTATAGGGTCCTAGACTCTTCCTTCGCAGAAGGGGAGCTCAACCTGTCAGTGTATGAGGGGGCTTGACTAGAGCCCCTTTTCCACTGTCACAACGCGGGTCGGATATTTCTGGCTTGACGTGTGTTTGAGGGGGGAGGAGTCTGTGGAGTATTTCCAAACAACCCGATCCGCCATTTTTCTCTACCGCCTGCCATTAGCGATAACTCGAGGAGCGTATCTTTGGGTATTTTGAAGCTATACAAAAACAATAACATCAAAGCCGTGGTCAAATACAGAAGTGCAGGTGTTGTTGTGCTTGGTGGCTGAGGAAAAAAGTCAAAGCGAACTAGATGGAGGATTGGAGGGTGGTTTGGACACGGCTACTGCTCTACTTGAATCATTTATAGAAGATGGTGAGTGTTTTCTAACTTTAAACATATTTTAAGTTACTCATCCCATCGGTTCTGAACATATTTTTAACTAACAAAAAAGGCTGACGCCATAATAGGACAACATCGGTGTTATGATGCTAAGCTCATTTGCATAAACGCTAACTGTCCTCCGGTCCCGTTTCTCACTGTATTTTATCTAGAACGTATTTCAGCACGTGACGGTTCGTCTCTATACTCCACATTCAACCCTCCAAGCCTCCCGGCTTCTGCCGCTGCTCCATCAGCGGAGTCTACACCTGACAGAGCTCCTCCGCAGGCTCGCAGCCCACCTGCACCTGACAGAGCAGCACAACGCTGCAGCTTCTGTGCTCGGTAAGAACAGATGCAACATGTTCCACATCACTTTATTCGTGCCGATAAGGACTTGCTTTTATTTTATTTTTAATGTAAAAAAATAAAATGTTGAATACTGAATACGCACCACATGTTGAACATGTGGTGGGATGAAATTATGTACACAGGGTCCCAGTTACAGACAATAAAATGTAAAAGAAAAACTGTAATAAGAGCTAAGATATGAACTAAGAAAAATATCAACTAAAAAACATCTACTAATACACTAAGCACTAATAGCAGTAAACAATCAAAACAATATGTCAAACAGCAACATGAACTTGAGTTTGTGCAGCCTCATGAATCTCTAACCAGGATAATCACTGAAAAATCACATCATGTTGCTGCTGATCTGTTTCATGCTGCTGCTGATCTGTTTCATGTTGCTGCTGATCTGTTTGATGTTGCTGTGTTCATTCGTGCTCATCTGTTCACTGTCCGTGCTGCTGTTCGGCGTATTGTGTTTATTGTTTTTATACTATTAGTGCTTAGTATATTTTTAGTTGATGTTTTTCTTAGTTCATATCTTAGATCTTATTACTGTTTTTCTTTTACATTTTATTGTTGGATGTAACTGGGACCCTGCGTACATAATTTCGTTCCACCACATGTACCACATGTGGTGCGAATGACAATAAAGAAGATCTGTATCTGTATAATACTTTGATCATATATCCATTGTTATCATTATATTATTTTCATTATTTTAAAACAATTTGTCATTTTCTTATTTTATCAGTTTATTATTATTAATATAGCTGTTAGCTGCACCTTTCTTTGTTTCATGCATTTATTCAAAAACAGTATGTAGCTTGAATTAACCACCTGTTTCTTCTTTCTAGTGAAGAGAAAGAGAAAAGAGTCCAGTAAAGAAAAGTCTTATTCCATCACTGAATGAACATGAAGAACTGAAGCGGACACAGCAGGAACAACACTTGTGTCTTCTTCTGGATGAAGCCCGTGAGACAAGAGATAGACAATCATTAGTTGGATGCAGTATTTTTTATTTTTCTACATTTTTCACTTCTTCTTCTTTTCCCATTAAACAATTTTTTTCTTACGTGGTGTCCTTGAACATTAAATTTCCTAAACAAATTTTACAATGTTAAGTGCATATAGTGTTTGTTTAAATCCATACTGGAAGTTGAGAAAAATTTCCAATTGTATTTGATCTTTAATGAATCCTAAGAAAAGATTACTAGAATCTGCTCAACTGTTATTATGTTATAAACTTTTTGGTTCTAGGATGAAGTGAGACAAAAACAGTCAAAAATTCAGAAAAGACAGTTATCAGCCGTACAACTGTGGCCCGAGAGATTGAGGTGAAAGCCCTGGTGCACCTTTTATTTGAACCTGCAGAGATTTGAACAGCTGGTCTGAAGCCAACAGGCAGGTGTTCAACTGAACCCAGTCAGAACCGGGTCATAATTTCATTATAATCCCGTCTCTGAGCAGATCAAAACCATAGGGCCAGTCTAAAAATATTTTAACAGTAGTGTATGATAAACAGACGGCTCCTCTAAACGTCGCGGGCCTCTTGCAGATTGCGCATGCGCGTGTGTTAACTAAATGTATGCAACTCTGACATGTAATGGTAAATGGACTGTGATTATATAGCGCCTTTCTATCTTATTTCAAGATACTCAGAGCGCTTTACACTACAATCTGTGTCCTCATTTACCCATTCATACAGCTCTCTACTAGATCTCTACAAAGATAATTGAACAAATCATTCTAAAGAGACATGTATGCAGAACGGACACCTATGACAACATGCGGCCTTCGAAGCATACAGGCCCTGAATTTAAACACAACCTAAAATATCTTCTCAGCTAAGTGTGTAAAACTGTTGTTTTATTCTTGATGACAATAGTTTGAATAGGACATCTCCAAACTGAGAATTACTGAGATAAAAAGAGCCCCACGAATCTTGATCTAATACTTTAGTTTCTAGATCTTGTCCACCTTAGCGTTAGCTTCTGTTAGCATGCTAAGCTACAAACACAGACAACAGATTTACAAGTTCTTTTAAAGAAGTTAAATCCATCAACTACCTAGAAACCACAGCTAGCTAACATCGTCTGATGCTGAATGAAAAAACAAACCTGCGCTCATTTTCTCTCCAACTCGACAGCTCCTCTTCG